CGGTTTGGACTGGTCCAGAAGTTAAACTGATGGAATTTGAACTGGCACAGACCTGGACTCGCGGGACTTAAATTACTTGCGGGATTTATACTAAAAAAGGTAGAATTTAAAGAGATTTTTTCTTTTTTTTAAGAGCTGTCCCTTTTTTTATAACAAAAAAATTTAGAAAACTAAATGGTGGAATACGGATTGGCGTGCATTTGGGACGCGAAGCTATTTAGCTCAAATGCACGCCAATCTGTATTCCACCATTTAGTTTTCTAAATTTACTCGTTATAAAAAAAGGGGCAACTCTTAAAAAAAGAAAAAATCTCTTTAAATTCTACCTTTTTCAATATAAATCCCGCAAGCAATTTAAGTCCCGCGAGTCCAGGTCCGTGCCAGTTCAAATTCCATCAGTTTAACTACTGGACCAGTCCAAACCGGTCCAACTACTGTCGGCCTGCCTTCCAACCCCCAAATCCCACGGCTCTGTCCCACCGATACTAAAGCTGTCAAAATGGCTCGTTATTTGCAAACAGTTCAGGTTCGATTCGTTTGATAGGTTAACGAGCCGAACACGAACATTTTTTTTGCACTCGATATATAAACGGGCTGATTATGAACAAAGATTTGTTCATCATGTTTGGCTCGTTTTGAGTCGAAATATTGCTTATCAATTATATATATATATATATATATATATAATAGATATGTAGTATGCTTAGAAAAATTAATTTAACTACAAGGCCACAAGATCATCCTACTACTGCATGATTAGGGTTGCCAAAACTACTCGTTATTCGCGAACAACTCATGTTCGACTCACTAAACAAATGAGTTGAACACAAATACAACTTCTGTGATAGAAATATAAACGAGCCAGCATGGATAAATCTGACAACTTTATCTGCTCCGGCGACTAAGCAAAGCGAATCGTCTAGCCCCCAAAATTGCTAGCCAACAAATTTCAGCCCAATCTACATTAGAGAAATCTCAAGAAATAGTCAAATTGACAATTTACATTGAGCCCCCAGCAAACGACCGCCCGACAAAAAATGAAGCCAGGTGAGAGGCTGACATAGGCACCCAGTTCTGTTTGACTGGGCAAGTTACCAGGATTCCGACCCTATCTGGCCGGGAGCTTACCCAGCCTTGTATCGCCTGGAACTTTCAGGGTCATGGCCCTGTTCGAATGAGAGCCTTGAAAGCCCCCAACCTAATATTCATATATTGACTATGATACCCCCATCATATCTACGTATAATGTGTAATTTCACATTCAACATCCATATAAATAGAGGTTCATTTCATCAATAAATGTTATGCCAATACTCTGTCATATATTATACTTTTGCTCTCCTTGTTCTCACACACTCTCTCTCCCCTTAACGCTCTATTCGTTGGGTGTGTCTTCCGGACAATTTTAAATTCAACACTAGAAATTCTCATTTAGAATTTTTTATTTTCCTATATATATACATACATACATGTATCTATATACATACATAAATGTATCTATATATACATACATACATGTATCTATATATACATACATATATATATATATATACATACATATATGTATATATGTATACATACATATATGTATATATGTATACATACATCTATGTATATATGTATACATACATACATCTATGTATATATGTATACATACATACATCTATGTATATATGTATACATACATACATCTATGTATATATGTATACATACATACATCTATGTATATATGTATACATACATCTATGTATACATAGATGTATGTATACATATATACATAGATGTATGTATACATAGATGTATGTATACATATATGTATATATACATATATGTATGTATACATACATGTATGTATACATATATGTATGTATACGTACATACATGTACGTATACGTACATACATGTATGTACATATATATATATATAGTATTTTTAAAAAAAATTAATTTTCCACAAGGCAACAAAGATTTATAACCAATTTAAATTATTAATTAAGAAAATAAAATAACAATATATTAAATTCTATTTAAATAATATATTAATATATTAAATAAGATTTTAGTCTCGCTCAATCCTTAACATTCTATGAAAGCTTGATTAGGGTTATCAAAATAACTCTTTGTTCGCGAACACCTCATGTTCGGCTCGCTAAGCAAACAAGCCGACACGAACACATTTTTTTTTCAAAATATAAACGAGTCGAATACAAACTGAGATATTTTTTAATGAGTCGAATACAAGCTGAGCCTAGGCTCTCTCGTGTATGGCTTGTTTACACTCCTAACCTGTACAACTCCCAACTACCATCTAAGCTAAACTCTATTGTCTTTTAAATATATACTTATTTTATTTTTATAACATTTCAAATAGTAATCTTATATATATATATATATATATTATTTTAAAAGGAAATCCATATTTGACAGAAGCCCAAATATCGATTTTCTATGCATTTTTTTGTCACGTGATGAGAGCCTGCGCAATGTGTCTAAAATTTCAGAACCCCCACGTCACGGCGGGATCGAATCCTTGATCTGATGGGACTTACAGTGACCCCGTCACCAACAGACCAAGGCCTCCACCAAAAAAAAAAAAATTTTATTTAGTAATATTCATCTTATTAAAATCACGATTAAATTCACTATATATATATATATATATTGATTTGAGGCTATGATATATATAAAGATTGGCCAGAGGCCAGAGGCTATGCTAGGAGCCTCCAACCAACCTCATGCGCCTAATCGCTCGACACATCCGCACACGAGCGAGATTGAACCCTAACCCCGGGGGACTTAGAATTGACATAACAGATGCCAACAAAAATGTCGGAGAACGCCACGCACACGCACATATATATATATATATGTCTGAATTTTTTCTCATAGTTATAAATTTATTTAAAATCAAATTAATTCTAGTTTTAAAATAAGTTGGAATTAATTTAATTAAAATCAAATTGAAAGACCTTGGAAGTTGAATTGGCCGACTTCAATGATTAGCATGGAAAACGAGGGGACTTATTTTAAAAGTCCATTAATTATATGGAAAGCTGTCGGGCGGCCATTGCCATCTTATCATCCGCCTCCCTCCTCTCTCATCACCTCCCATCTCTAATCTGCTTCACTCTAATTGCTGATGAGCAATGAAAGCCCAGTAATGGCGAAGACGAAGGATAAACAAGCATGGTGAATTCGAGGGCAACTTTTTCTATTTAAACTCTCAAATTCATGCTGAAATTGGGATACATTAGAAGAGAGAGCGAAGGAAGGGAGTAATATTCGATTGTTCCTTGCCGGGATCAGCAAGGAAGGAATTGAAACAATTAATCAAGGAATCGAGAGATACAAGCAATGAAGCATTGACACTTCTTCCCCTTCTGCCTTTTTTCTGAACCTCCTCCTTCGGCGGCATCAGCGCAGTCCTCGTTGCCGCTATTATCTCAAGTGGCGGAGGGGCTGAACTTCGCTTGCGGAGAGGAGGATACTAGGGATGGAGGAGGAACATCAACATAATGATAAGAAGTTGGCAGTGTCGGATGTTGGGGCTTGGGCCATGAACGTCATCAGTTCCGTGGGTATAATCATGGCGAACAAGCAGCTTATGTCCCCTGCAGGTTTCGCCTTCACCTTCGGTGAGTGCTCATGCTTGCGCTTCCCAGCTGATCTTTCTTTCTTTATGTCATTCTTCTAGCTCGCGGTCGAATTTTCTGAGGAAGAAAGTAAGATCTGTCATTAGCTCTGCTGTTTTCTACTCCTTGCGTACCAGTCTGTCTGAATATCTTGAATTTGGTGGGACTCTACGAAATCTGTAATTTCCGAATTTAGGTTTATTTTTGGTCCTGAATTTCTCTCTTCGTTTGAATTGGATAAAAGCGAAGGAAATACCCTGTGACTTATAAAAATGTCGCAGTTGGGCTGATTTTTTTCAGCCCCTCTTTTCTTTCACAGTTAGGTTACCAATATTCAAAAGTTTTATTATTATTATTATTATATTTTTAATTTCTGAAATCCTTGCTTCTATCCCTTCACGGATCGTTCGTACATATGTGGTTTAATTATTGCTATTTCTATTGTCTGAAGAGAGATTATTAAGTTATTGAAGATCCTGCATCTTCATTTATTTTTTTGCATCTTGGGTTATCATCTCTACTTCTAGAAAAGATCAGGGCACAACCATAGTCGAATCTGTTTGAACGAATACCAAACGTTGTTCAGCCTTTTAGCTGTCAGGAAGATGATGTTTGATGTCTCCTTTCATTTGTTATTTCACTCACATGGATTATTATTTTACAGTAGCATTAGTTTACCAGAGTGAACCACTGTTTTTGTTTCAGCGACTACTCTGACTGGCTTGCACTTCTCTGTGACTGCATTTGTTGGCTTCATTTCTTATGCCACCGGATATTCTGCATCAAAGCATGTTCCTTTGTGGGAACTTCTCTGGTTTGCCATTGTTGCCAACACATCCATTACAGGGATGAACCTGAGCCTCATGCTCAATTCTGTTGGCTTTTACCAGGTGCTGATTAACAACTTTATTTTCGGTGCATCTTTTTTATTAGTTCCAAATTTTCATAGCTCTAATATAACAATTTTCACTTGCTGTGTTTTAGATATCAAAGCTTAGTATGATTCCTGGTGTGATGGAATGGATTCTTCATGATAAGCACTATTCAAAAGAGGTGAAGATGACTGTTCTTGTGGTTTTTTTGGGTGTTGGAATTTGCACAGTGACAGATGTCAAAGTTAATGGCAGAGGTTTCATTTGTGCTTGCATTGCAGTTCTTTCGACATCCTTGCAGCAAATTGTGAGTGCATTCTGGGTCTATTTTTTTTTCAAGAATTTTGTCAATATCCTTGTTGGTTACATTTCTTACTTGTAAAGATTTTGTTTGACTTCTCTCATAAACTTTATTTAATATGAATGCATATGTTAGAGTGAGAAGGTCATTCTTTCTTTTTTTTTAGATTAAAGTATTCTAACCTGCAAGTGGTTTTGATGCTAATGCATCTATATTAAAATCAAGTCTATTAAATTGATAAATAGCTTTACACTAGTCACACTACCATAGCCAATGTACTTTTAAAAACAAAAGGTTTCTTAGTCTTTGTTTATTTTATAATTTTCACACCTCACCAATGGATCTTTCCTTTTATAAAGATTAAAGCATACATCCCTGCAAGTGGTTTTGATGCTAATGCATCTATATTAAAATCAAGTCTATTAATATGATAAATAGCCTTGCACTCGTCACACTGCCATAGCCGATGCACTTCTAAAAGCAAAGTTTTCTTAGAGTTTGTTTTTACAACTATCACATCTCACCATGGAGCCTAGAAGAAATTTGCAAAACCTAGCAGGACGGTGCAGGCTGAAATTTTAGAAACAATTCTGATTAATAAAAGCATATGATTTCATTAGGTATTTATCTACCAATAAGATCATCAGATCATCTAAAACTAATGATACAGCTAATGCAATAATTCATTGAAGGAAATAATTTATTGATAAATTCAACTAAATGATCTAACCTTAATCACCTTCTGAAGCTAAGGCTAACTGATGTAGTAGTATGAGCTTTCCCTTAAATGATGTTCAACTAATAACCTTCAATCATAAAATAATATGCATGAGTTTGCAGAAATAAGATCAGTAGGTGAAATCCTTCTGAGTATGATATAAATGATAAGGTATAGAGCATAAACATGATCAATTAAAAGGAGGAATAATTAGAGGATATTAAATTCTAACAATTGTAAATAATGTTAATAAGATAATATTTTAGTGTGGTAATCATTCAATGATTTTTGTTATGTAGTAGAGTTAATAAAAATAAATATTTATAAACTAGGGATAATTACATTAAAATATCAAAACATTCATTTGCATGCATACTACATTTGTGTTTTTTAAATGGCTTATCAATGATATTTATTGTAGGTTTTGGGAATTCAACGGAATACTTTATTGATATGAAAACGGGATAAAATTCATGTTACATGAGTCTTCAAATAAGAAGACATGAAAAAGAAAATAGCAGGAAATTAAAGACATCTAGATTACAATCAATTAATTCCTAATAACTATTCGGAAATAAAAAGGTAACGACATAAAATAGGAAAGGAAATAAATCCAATCCTCATAATTGCTAACACACATACACACACTTACACCCAAATAAAAGAGGGTTAATACCAAAAATACATGTATTGTACACATAAACATACATCATATGAATTTTTTATTATAATACAAGTTTTTATAAGGACTATAACTTGATCAAGTTTGATTATATGCCAACATAATTCATGTATTAGTGATGATAATATATAATGTTTTTTAGAATATGTGCAACAAATAAGATAATAAAGCTAACTATTACATCATATTAGAATGATCATGTAAAATACTATGAATAAAAAAGCACACGCCACAAGACTTTATTAACAATACAAATATGCCAACATGCCCCTATCCCTTACACAGTAGAGAGTTACCCACTTAATAAAGAACGCATGCATTCGAACATATCAATCATGACATGATCCTTCTTGCTCTAACATATAATGTTCCAGAAACTCTAAATTCAAAAGAATCATAGTTTATCTTACATTCAAAGCAATTCAAATAAAAATTATCTATGAGCAAAATCACCAACCAAGCATATTATTATGACTGTTGATTTTCAAGAATCTTTTCGATCTATATGCCACAATTAACCTAAAAAATAACCATATCTTATTTATTATTTTTATAATAAATTATTTTGAGCATTGGTTTTATAAAATCTATAATATACTCAAAAATTAAAAAAATTAAAAGTTATAGGAAATGCATTTTTATGAGTACTGTACATTCTTATATAACAAACAATGGGTTTCCACACACAAACATCCATTAAACCTAGGCCTAAATCTATATCAGTGATTCTTCTTTTTTTCAAACTCTATTATGCTATACTGGAGGAATCATACCTAGTAATTTAATATTAATCTATGTAACTAAATGCATACCTTATAAAAACAATAACATATGGTTACTGCTATCCCTCATTTTGTTCTCTTAAAAATATCACACAAGAATCTACTTAATTTCAATTTATTCTCAAAGGCGACTTAATTCTTTGTTAATCATAGAAATGACATAATCTACAATCACCGGAAAATAACTATAAACGAACAAGTCATGTTTTAGTATTAGGATTTATCTAGCTTAGGTATATTAAGATGAACGTGCTAATGATGTGAGGAGGAAGAGAAGAATAAGAAAGAGAAGAAAATGTCCAACCTTTACTCCCTTTTCCCTTCCCTCAGTATCCCTCAAATGACCTTGTTAAAGCCATCAAAGCCGCTGACTAGATGACCAAAGGTTCTCTTTCCTTGCACTCAAATTTTTTGGTTGACCTCTATCGTGCTCAAAGGAAACGATTATTTGTGCATGCTAGCCGCTCTCCGCGCTCTCGGTCTCTTCCACTAGCTCACCCATAGTTGCTTTCTCGCTTGCCCTCTCTTGTGCAGTGCTCTGAGAATCCTTATTTGGGATTTAAAAGACAAAGTTGTTGTGTGGGATTGGTGAATATGGCTTGCTTAGGTTGTTTGGTTCAAAAAATAAATAAAAATAAAAATAAAAATAAAAAAGAAAAGGAAAAAAAAAAGGGTTCTTACATTCTCCTCACCTTAAAAGAATTCCATCATTGAAATTCAAATCAACTGCATAAATCATAAATAAGAAATTTACACACAGACCTAAGGATAAAAGCATATATTTTACTGAAACACCAACACTATGATTTAAACATATGTCGAGTATTGCTCGGGTCTTTTGATTGCAAGGATCAATCGACACAAAATCGTCAACAAAAGCAATCTTTGTTAGGTTTAAGATATACTACACATCAATTTTATGTCTCAAAGTTCACATCAAAGCATACTACAAGCATTGAACATGAATCTTCGCATCTAACAAACACATCGTGAGGCTTATGCAAAGTACTACTTTGTATAGTTATTCACTCAGAAACTTACACATACAGAAATGAGGCTCTACCCAACTCCTCACATATACATATAGAACAAGAACTTTCTAAATGACATTTATTTAATAAATAATCATCATAAACACCAAGGCCACAAGAAAAAAATCACCAAGCAAACAAATCTTGCTCTAAAAGCTATCAAAGCTACCAAGCATAGCATTTTCAAAAGCAAAACCTCTCAGCATACCGCATTCAATATAGATGGATATGACAAGTATGAGAAGCATGACTTCTCATTAATGCATAAAATCACAAGATTTTATAAACCCATAAAACCTCACTAGACAATCATAAATATAGCTCTGGTGTCAATGCATAAAATTTATTGTATTCACCTTAATATGCATGCTAATCCTTAGACAACAAAAGCATTACAACATAATGAAAAAAAAAAGAAAAAAAAATCTCGAGCTATACAAAGTAAAACATGTTTATTAAGCAACCCCTGCTTTAATAAATATTCATCAAAATTATTGCACACTAATAGCTCAAATTAATTAAATAATTAAATAATTAATATTATAATTATTTGTTTGGCTTGTTATGTAGCTCATATTTGATTTGTTCATTAAATAGGCTGGTCGAACACTAATAATTTTTTTGGAGCTTTATTTATAAATGAGCCGAAAAAGAACTTTTGGCGATCGTGTTTGGCTTGTTTTAGCCCAAATTAATTAAATAACTAATGTGACAACATTTTTATTTTGCATTAAAAAAATGCTTAATTTAATTATTTTTAAATTCATTCAAACTAATTTTGAGTTCAACATGAGCTGTAATGAGCAAACAAATTCGAATTGAGTCTAACGCAAATATGGTAACGAGTCTTTTCGAACACTAGTCTATTTTAAACAAAAAACTTCCAGCTAGTCGAACTCGAAGAAGCATTGAGCTTGCTCAAATTCAACTCATTTATACCCTTGCTATTTTTCGTTGAACGTGTTCAACCCACCTAAGTTTATTTTCAATTTCTTTAAATTTAATAAGTGTCAATTTTATTGTTTATCTAGTATAATCATTTTTAAAATTTATTCTTTTAAGTTTTTTCCATATATCAGTCTTAATAAGCTCCTCTCCACCCCACTTAATTTGGCAATATGTGATCTTTTCCATTAGATGTTCATATTTCATATTACACTAGAGACACATTTTTATACTAACCACCCAACCTTAATTCTAGAAATTGTATCTTAGTTATATCCACCCTTTTTTTTGTTTAATATATCCAAAATATTTAGCACCATCACTTCCAGGTATCACTCTAATATTATACACTAAAATTGTATTCTCTAATTTTTGTTTTTTATTTCTAAGTTGTTTATCCTAATTAACAATCACAACTATGTTCAACAAAATTAACACATCCTTCACAGTTTTCTATAGATTTATCTAATCAATTTTGTTTTTTCCATACTCAAGTATCAACTAGTTCTGTAAGATATCTTCCTACTGTATAATACTTCAGTCGTATCTTAATCTTAACCACCTAACCATAATTCTCAAAATTATATTTTTATTTATATTTCCATTTTTTTGTATTAGATTTAAATTATTTTAAATTGTCACATGTATGTCATTTTATCTTTTATCAATATTAATCAATAGTTATTAATTTCACGTGCTATAAAATTATATATCATATATGTCATCTTTGGCCTACTAATTTTAAGTATTTTATCTTCCAAAATGATAGACCACGTGATTTATCATCGCCTTTTGATAGGGAACAATTAAACAAGAAGCTCCTGAGCCTTAACAGTGATTAAGGAATT